CGCCATCCCTGGAGTTGTTGACATTTAAGGCAGACGCGTTGTCAAGTGACTCCCAGCCGCTCGCTCCTGGAGCTTCCCGCGGGGTCTCGCGTCCTAGGGCTTCGCCGGTGCTGAGGATGCCCATGGTGGCTCTGTAAAGCCGAGGCATGGCTGCGGGAAGGTTACTGCTCTATGCCGGCCTCTCTCTCGCTCTGTGCGCCCTGGGCATGCTGGCGGTAGCGATCTGCTCCGACCACTGGTATGAAACGGACGCCAGGAAGCACCGGGAGCGGTGCAAAAGCTTCACCACCAGGAGAAACGACCCGGGCTTCATTTACAACTCCAACAACAACCTGCCTCTGAGGGCCAGCCGATCCAGGTTGGACCGCTGGGAAGGGAAACTCCTCTTGGCAAGGAACAGGAGGCAGCTCTTTGCAATGAGCGCCGCCGATGAGTGCAACAGACAGTACAACTCCACCAACATGGGGCTCTGGAGGAAATGCCACAGACTGGGCTTCGACCAAGAGCTGGAGGAGCTGATTGCCAAAGGTAAGAGCCGCTGTGCGAGCTGGGCTGGGCTGACTTTCAGAGCCTGGATCAATTTGCATAGCGGGGTTGCTGAGAGGCAGTGAAGCAAACGGTGAACCCTGGGTGTAGACTGGAAATCGCTTCCAGCCAGGGAGTGCTGCAGCAGCTCCCCACCCCGCGTTCCAGCATCCGTACGACAGCCCCACTATTCAACATAGCCAGCCATGTAGCCTCCTTGCAGTGGGTGTCCTGGGGCTCAGGGTTCTGGTGTGTGTAATCTCACAAGTCATTGCTTGGCGCAGGGCGGCCAGCTCTCCCTCGCTGTGACTTGAAGGGGATGGGGTCTAGAATGCCACCATTACGTATTTGCAGGGAGAGTAATCTGCCTAGCTAAGGTTTTCAGAAGGCTGCCCTCTGAGCACCTGCCTGGAAAAGTAAACAATATTAATAATTAATACTTGGCAGATTAGAAAAGTCTTAGTCTGACCCTACTGGCTCAGCTCAGATTGTTTGTTTTGTTGCTGTAGGCTGTACATGTATGTATCGTGCTATTTTCCATTGCCACATCTACATTACATTTCAATCGGTTCTGAATTGCACAATCTGCCTTAAAAGGGGGAATCAACAAAGGGAGATGCCAGAAAGCAAAAGAGAATACAGCCTGCTTGCTGCTTATTCCAACCCAGATTTTTGTAATATGTTCAATGTGCCAAAACTGATTCATCAAGAAGGGTCTGAAGAGGAATCATTTTCTCCCAAGAAGGAGACACAGCTGTTTGCCAGTAGCATGGCTGGGCTGTTCTTGTTTTATTTTTTTTCCTGAGGAATTAGTGAGGGTGATGGTCAATTTGCCTTGAATGGCTCTTTGATCCAGGGCACAGCACAAACAGCTGGGTACAAACACCAACTAAGTTAAACATTCCTTCATAAAATGGCTGTTTTACAAGATGATTGGGGTCCAATTGAGGATTACAGCATTCTTGCTGCCCCCATCACACTATTTCCTACAACAAAACATCCTTTCACTCCACAGTCCTTATGATGAATTAAGAAGGTTACCTATTGGTATGCTTTCCCCAAAATGAATTGGTTGCTTCTTATACTATATTTATACCATATCTTTAGAAACACTGGAGTTTTGAATATATTAACAATCCAAAACTCCCTTGATTCGTTTTGCCCATAATACTCCCCTTTACAAATATTAAATGCAGAAATATTGAAAGAGCTTATCACATTCATGAATATAGAGCTCAGTTCAGTTGATTTTAAAAATGAGCTGCAAAAGGTCCATAACACCATAGGCACACAACACACAGATGTGTTGTGAAATATAGAGCCTCTTCCTAGTAGATTGCCAGTTCAAATCTGGCCAGACTGTTAGTGGGCAAGTGATTACTATGTGGTGGTGGCTCAGTCCTTTACGTGAAACAGATGAAGTCTTCAGTCCATTTTGTAATGGACAAGTGACCCCATCCAAAACCTGTCATCCTGATTGGCAGTCACAGCTGTGAAGCCAAGAATTCCCTTAATCCTTCCAGGGCAGGGTTGAGGCATAGTGATGTAGCAGTGTAGGGGTTGCTTACACTACAATGTGTGTTCTGGCTAGTACAAAACATAATAAAAAAAAGAATTTCAGTTTTCAGGGCTAAGCTCCAGCAAATTTCACACATACTAAATCTATTTAAAATGTAGTTTAGAAGATTGTAAATGCATTTCATTTTAAAACACAATCAATCCTTCTTTCACCTGCCAGGTATGTCTAGAGTTCAGGAATCTGTTTCCTCTCACAGAGCTGTTGAAATCTGAACCAGTATAAGTTCCACTGTTTTAGGTGTTAGTGATGGAGGCACACACAACTGTAAACTCAGGCAGGTAAATATTTGCAGAAAGGTGATTTTTGGAAGCTCTAGTTTTAATTTTTTGTGTGTGACCAGGTTAGCCTAAACATAGAGAGGCAGATATTCAAATGAGTTAGGTATCTAATTTATGGACTTTGGTACTTAATGCATGCCTGCAGATTGGATATATGACTACACCATAGTCAGCCACGCAATTTTCAGTGTTTGTGCATAACTATCAGATTTGTGTTTGCATTTGGGTAGATTGCACAATTATATGCATGGAATTGGTTGCCATTGGGTTTGAAAATCTGGTGTTTATTGTTGCATGATTTGTGAGCTTAAGCAATATCTTGTCTTTGTCTTTTAAAGCTTTGTAGTACACCTTTAGCTTTTTCTGAGTGGGTGAATGGAGAGAGGTAAAAAGAGGGAAGTTCTTATAAGACAAGTGTCAATATTACAGTGAAATGGGGGATTATTTTGATTGAGGATACATCTATATAACAACTCTGAGTCATTATGCAGAGTAATACTTACTCATTATCTTTAAAAACAGAGGGTTGCAGTACCGTAGCACTTTAAGAATTAAAACACAGAAAAGTAAAGATTACAAAAAGTTTGCATGTGAAGCTTTACTGTACTCAAAAATAAATCCTCAATCTTTGTACTACAGTTTAACTATCTTTGTATGATCTCTGTATATGATGCAAAAATATCAAAGGACTTTTCTCATTAGTCATTACCATAAAGTAATTTTTTTAAAAACTTGCACCCAGGCAGCAGCACTGAAAGGTATTCACTATATATGTGTGGAGCCACCCGTATATGGGCAACCAAATGGTATCCCAGTGGTCTTGAGGGCAGATATTCCTGCATTTCTCTAGGTTCTATAGTAATTTTGTGAATATGGTATATTTTTCCACTGCTGTCAGGTAGAGAACAATGTTGGGTTCAGAACGAGGCATGTTCTAGGCTCCAGTAAGATACATTTATTGTCCTTGGATGATTAAGCTCCCATCACAGAGGCTCTTTCAGTAGTAGAAACTGGGTATGTAGGAGTTATGTTTGCACATGGCATGCTGAACCTGAAGGATTTTGAATGACCTTATCATACCTGTTGTACTCAAACTACAAGTGGGCTTCATGTGCACTATTGTTGAAACCCCCCCCCCCCCCCCCCCCAAGAGCCAGCACCGTGTAAAACCATTTGGAGCATTTAAGTGGTGCACCTTGTGCTGCCCCTTTGCACAAATGTCAGTTTCAGTCAGTGTGCCTGTTTATAAATTGTATAAATCGGTGCAGGTTCTGGCTCCAAATATTGCATATAGTTCTGTATATAGCTAAATATAAATGCTGTTAAGGTTTCTTTTAAAAAATGGATAGGATCTTAGTAATCTACTTAGCTCGGGCCAAGTACAGCATCTCTCACCAGGCAAAAACTTCCACTACTGTAAATGGCAGTGTTGCCTGAGAAAGGATAGATAGGCACTTAATGGTCTGCTCACTGTCTTTGAAAATACCCTTCCAGTGTGACAGCTGTGGAATTACCACTGATGATCAGAATTGTAAGTGCAGATCAAATGCCTGATTGGGCCCCATGAAAGACATCACTGTCTGTAAGAACTACCCCATTTCTGGAAGTGTAGACCAAGGCTATGTCTACACTCGCGGCTTCTTGCGCAAGTACAGCCGTTCTTGCGCAAGAATCTGCAGAGCGTCCACACTGCCCACCTGCTCTTGCGCAAGTAAATTTACAGTACGGCATGGTAAGAGGGGGCTCCTTGCGCAAGAGCTACACTCTTTTTTTGACAGGTGCTCAGGGAGAGGCATTGCCTTTAGGAAAAGGGCCTCTAAACTAGATCTGGTAGTGTTGTTACTAGCCAGAGATGTGGATGAAAGGGAGCAGATGTGGATGAAAGGGGGCTCTTGCACAAGAGGGCAGTGTGGATGCTCAGCAGGGATTTCTTGCGCAAGAAAGCTCTATGGCTAAAATGGCCATCAGAGCTTTCTTGCGCAAAAAAGCGTCCACACTGCCATGGGCGCTCTTGCGCAAAAGCACATCTCGCACGTGGCAGTGTGGCTGTTTTCTTGAGCAAGAGTCCTTGCGCAAGAAGAGTTCTTGAGCAAGATGTTCTTGCGCAAGAAGCCGCGTGTGTAGACATAGCCCAAGGGTGTGTCTATACTGTAGGGCTTAACTCAAAATAAGCTATGCAAATGGAGCTATGTCAATTGCATATCTTATTTTGAAATAGCTTATTTCAAAATAGGAAGTGTCTACACAGCGCTTATTTTGAAATGGAGTACTTTTCCTCCAACTTCCCTTATTCTCTGTACATTGAGGGTTACAGGAGTTGGAGTAAGAAGTTCTCCAGCTTGACAGTATTTTGACGCTATTTTGAAAAAACTGCCTGCAGTGTAGAGGTGGACTAAATTATTTCAGAATAGCACTAGTTATTTTGAAATAGTATTGCAGTGTAGACCTACCCCAATATCTCAATTCTTTGCTTTCTTTATTTTTTGAAATATATCAAAATCTTGTGTGGTGTCGGCACAACTGAAAGTGTGCTACTTAGGATTTCCTTTAGTACCCAGTTTGTACAGTACACTTCACTGCTGGTGTACTGTTTGTGCACATAAACAGCTCCTCATATTTATATTTTTCCCATTTATTTTTATATCTTCCCATAGAATCCAGCTGGAAGATCTCTAAACAAAACAATTGTATTAGCATGCAGGGAATAAAAACATATTTCCACAATTAGGCCCATACACAAAGGAACTGACACGTGGCAGATTAAAGGTCTAAGAACATTTTACAACTGCAACAAAATGGGGCAATTAATTTATACTCTTTATTTATACAAATAAAAAGAATAATGAAGACAAGAGAAAATAGAGCCAATAAAAAAAAAAGGATTGCATTAGGCATACAATTTGGGGCCTAATTTGCTAACTTTTACTTGCATGAATCATCCCATTCGATTCAATAGGACCACTCTTGGGAGTGAGGCCCATTTATGGGAATAAACGTTTGGGCTTCTCATTCTGTTTCTGTCTTGGAGTGTAATATTTCCCATTGACTTTAGGGGCCAGGTTTTTACCATTGATATTGAAAGCTTTTTTCAGAGTCCAATTATCAGGAAATTAACTTCATTTGAATTCAGTTGAACAATCTAGGTT